GGTGTGCATGAGCAGTTCCAAAATAAGAATAGCAACAGCATACCCAAAACTGAACTCACTGCCATCAAATCAATTCCAACTCGTAGCAACTCCCATTGGGTTTCCAAGGCTGTAAATCTTTACAGAAACAGACTGCCTCATCTATCTTCCATGGAGTGGCTGGTAGGTTTGAACTACTGACCTTTTTGGCTGGCAGCTACTTACCTTAACCACTATACTGCCAGAGCTCCTTATCAGCAATAGAAGTGCAGGATTTTCTTCTTCATTTTTAGAAGTATCCTCTGGTCATTTTGGAGAACAGGAAGTATGAATTAAAAATGACAAGCTATCCATCTAATCCTCAACAGGTACAAATAATGCTTTGTCAGTGAAAGGTGTTCAATAATGTCCAATAAATAGGAGTTAAAGTGCATCTTTGAAAATCTCCTTTACCTTCCTGTGTAGGTGATGTGGCTGCTTCTTCACTCTACATCCCAAGTTTGTGATTTCTGCAAAAAAATGCATTTGATTGATTAAAATAGTATTTAGGATTTTGGGTAGTTCTTTCACCTTCCTTCTGCTTGGCCTTTACCTGTCTATGTAGAGAGTTTAGGAGAGATGAGGGTTGCAAGTGGTGATCTGCATCACTGATGGTTAATCTTAGAAGAGAGTAAAAAGTATGCCCTGTGCTACTCAGTCTATGGTTGAGGAAGCTCCATTGCTCTTGGGAAGAGAGCTAGCTTGGAGAGGGATGATGTAGGTAAGTGTTGGTAATTTTCCCATCTGGCTCTTTCCTTCCCAGTGACCATTCTCATTGGTTGTATTTCAGTTTTCTTTTTATATGTGAGACCTTCTGGTGAAAAGTCATATATATATGTGGTGGTTCATCCCGATTTTAGTACATTATCACAGCCCTGCAGTATCATTTCCTGGCACAGATGAGATGTGGAATAAAGAATATTACTTTAAAGAATATTAGCTTAATTTCAAGGAAAGGAAAGAATAATATGCTTTTTTCATTTTTTAAATGCCTGATAATAGATTTTTTTTCTTTTCCTTTTGGCCCATTGTCTATAACTAATAGACTGTTGGTTGCATCCACATTATTCTAGCAATTTTAAGGGGATTGAATCAAAGTTTCTGTAGGGCACCCAAAGGTTTAGTTTGTGGAATAAAGCATAGGCCATCTAAACTGGGTCAGGTAGAACTGCCTCCAAGCCACCTTGCCAGAAATGGTGTTTTCATAATAAGCTCTCTAGGGATGGTGTCTGAGTCTCCTCTGGGTGGGCGTGGCTTGTCTGCATTCCTTCAGAACCCGTTCTTACTTTTTCTGTTGTTGTTGTTGTTGTTGTTATGTGCCGTCCGAGTCAGCCCTGACTCATAGCGACCCCTCCTTGGGTTTCTGAGGCAGTATCACTAAGGAAGTAGGATTGCCCAACCTTCCTTCCAAGGAGTGGCTGATGGGTTTGAACCGCCAGCCATCTGGTGAGCAGTCAAGTGCCTTAGCCACTATGCTACCAGAGCTCCCTAGTGATGCCAAATAGGAGAAATGGGAAAGGAGGGAGAAGGACTTGGAAGCCTGACAGTCCAGGTAGGATCATAGGTATACTTTCATGGGAATAAAACACCTAAGGCAAGGCAGTTCCTTGTACAATGTTTCATTGACATTTCATGATTGAAACAGCTACTTAGAAGTATATTAAAGGAAGTGATGTGATGTAAGTAACTTTTTTTTCTAAATCACATAATCTTATATTTTGTGGCATGGATGAAATTGCTCCAGAATGAAACCCTAAAATATGCAAGGAAATCTGGGTGTGCTCATAAATAAGCTTTGCCCCCAAGGCCTGCATTTTTGTGACTCTTCTGTTGGGCATGGTAAGGATGATGTAAGGCATTCTTTAATTTGGATGTGCAAGATCATCTTTAAATCCCCACTGTGGCCTCCCTTATGGTAGACTGCTGCTGTTGTCTTCATAGAGTTTTCAAATAGTTAACAAAAACAATGGTGGTTGACCACAATTGCCCTCTTTGGACCGTTAGACCTGTGCTGTATTTCTTCCCTTCTTATCATTTGGGTGAATGCTGTAAATAGGAAAAGGATGTGAGAGCATGTAAGTCTAACTAGTGACTATTTATAAATGGTGTGATTAGTCTAATTCCTTATTGGTCGTAGGCATGGTTTGGGAAGTTCAGTGATGTGGAAACCTTAATGCCTTATGCTTTCTTTGTGTATCCTAATATCTTTATTCCAAAAAGATTATACAGCTTAATAGATTTCTCTAGAAGTTGACTTTGTGATATATGTACATTCTGATATTTTCTCAAAATCAATTATTATAAATATACCAAAAAAGGTTCCTGGCAATGTAAAATAAATAAGCAAGTAAATAAACCAGAAACTCATGGGGTCCCTAGTAGTTCACAATCTGTTACCTTCTATCCCTTAGAAAAAGTGCTATTTCAAATCCATTACTGCTCCATATACTATGTGGTATGTTTAGTAGTAAATAACTAGGTAATCACTTCAACCACAAGTGGGTTTTGGATTAAATTACAGTGGATTTTTTTAGGAAAGGCACTTTTCACCAGGGCTTCAAACCAGTTCTTTTTTATTCGGACATGGTTGACAAAGCAAAACTGGAACCGGCCCGAATTTTTAAAATGTGGGTGAACCAGAATGATAACTGGTATGGGAAGAATTACAGGTCAGTTCCTTGCTTGAAACTTAATCTCCCTCTTGGAAAATAAGGGTAATGTGTGCAACCAAATCTCTTGACAGGCCGAGTTGGAAAAAACGATGCTCTGTTCAAAGATGGCGTCTGACCATGCCACTTTGTATGTCACTTTCCACAGCTCTTGCAATAATCCAGTCTTCTGCATCAGCCTCCTGAAAGGGCTCGCTACATCTCTTCCAAGTCTCCTACTCCAAGGCATTGACCTGTAATATTTCCTGTTCTGGTTACTGTTCCACTTCACCCAAATACAAAAAATTTGGGTCTGTTTCGATTTTGCTGTGTTGGCCATGACTGAACCAGGAAGAATAGGTTCAAAGCCCTGCTTTCCACACATGTTACATTTTCTCTTCTGAGAAGGTGCAGGCTGCTTTATGAATTCCTTTGACACGGCCACCTCAGTCCATTATTCTGTTCTCATGCCATGAAACCCATGTTCTGTTTTTGGAGTTTATAACTTCTACTTTCAATCTTTTCAGAGCTCCCTTAGTCATTAATGGTGTATCTTGTTGTCTGCTACTAAAATTTAAGAATATGTAATAAATTAAGGATGGTTCTGCATTGCCTCTTATCTGACTAGCATCTGTGGGTGTCAGCTGCCAACAAGGAGCTCGGGTGTCTGGGCCGCTCCTGAATACTCACAAGCTGACACACGCTCTTCTGATAAAAGGTATCTTCAAATATGCATGTGATTTTCAATATAAATTTTGTATGCTTAAACACCTCCCGTAAGAGAATCGCTTGACCTAATAAAATGACTTGGCTGGAACTTTTCAAAGGCTGGATATAAATATCACTAGAAATTATATAGCTAGCATAAATACTTCACTCTCCGCTTTGCTGAGCATTTTCGGAATGCTTCTGGTCACATTTGTGAATATAGTGAAACCTGAGCTTGTACCAGAGGAAGGACATTGGGGGAGGGGATGCTTAGTCCAACAGGGTTCACCAGTCTTCCCAGGGAAACCGTAAAGTATTGACTAATCTCTACCATGGTTTCAGTGGTGATAAAAGAAGGGTTTTGTTCCTTTAGTTCTTATCTAGTCAGCTACAATCATTTTTTGATCATATGTGTGTATATATCTCATCTAAAAATCCACATGTTTGCATTCAGATATATCTTGTTAAGATTGTCATGTTCAAAGCAAATACATACTATATTCTCCAGAGAGACAGTATGTCTGTGTGGACAATAAGACAAGCAAAATCGAAGCATTGTCAAGTCTTTTGTATTTTAATGGAATATTTTATTCTCCTAATATAGTACAAGATGCTAAACTATATCTATTTAAGAAGGCATTTGAATAGAGTGAAGTATTTATTTTATTGCTTTAAAGCTATTCATTGTAAATAAAGGTTAATCTGTAGTTGGTGGTGGCAGTGGTGGTATTGGCATTGGTGGTGGTGGTGGTGCTGGGAGTGGGTGGGTGGTGGGTAGTGGTGGTAGTGGTGGTAGGTGGTGGCAAATGTTAACCCTGAGGCATGCTATGTTAAAAAGCTGATGTCCTTCTTTAAGGTCAAGAGATGACTTGTCCCTTCTGCACACCTTTTTAATTTGTACAACACTGAAGGTCATGAAGAGAAAGAATGAAACAAAACACCATAATATACCATTTTTCTTAATGTTGTTTCTCATTTGCTATTGTAATCTCCAGCTTTTAATTTTATAATGAGATCTTGATGCCAGGTTTCATATAAGGGACTAGCTATCATTAATTGATTAGAATCCACTATGCTGGTTTCTTTGCACTGTTATCCTGCTTGTCTGATAGATCAGAAAGTGGGATGCTAACAAAGGAGTCATTCAGGTAAGAGAAGGGTATGTTTCAGACTAATTGGTGTGGATACTAACTTTACAGTGCAGATAATGGTGTTTGTTTTATCATCGTTTTCCAAGACTTCCATGTTAGTATAATCTCAACATTTCTTTCTCTTTCTCTCTCCCTCTCTGCCCCTTCCCTACCATCCCTGGCCCTGCACAAAACACCAGCCTAATAAGCAAAAGAAAACATATGACCTTAAATCTGCATGTACATCAGATCTCTCACTGCTGGCTCTGCATCTCCCATTATATTCAGATATATACTCCAGATGCTATAAATCATTCAGAATTAGCAACTCTGCTCTGTACCTCACTTGATGGCTCCAATACGCCCACTTCCATCACAACTGGCAAATGGTGGTGGTTTATTTTGGGACACATATAAGAGGCTGTGTCTGTGGCTCTGTCAGCTAAGGACTGATATTGTCATGTAATGTGGCCTCAACTCTTGTCTCCTTGGCTAGACTGCTCACCAGAAGCTCAGCCCAAATATGTTAGAGGTGGGAAGCGTTATGGACGAAGGTCCCTACCTGAGTTTCAAGAATCTGTGGAGGAGTTTGCAGAGGTGACAGTGATTGAGCCACTAAATGAAGAAGCACGGCCTTCACACATTACAGCCAGCGACTGCAGTGAGGTAAGAAATTGGACTGGCACATTCATCTTGATCACAAACGTGAATACCCATATCATTGTGGCACAGAGAAAGGACAACTGCCGGCTTTTATGGGATGAGATGGGGCAATCATTTGCTAATATTATCACTTGCTAATGTTATCACATGGCTAATTTTTTTAAATTTGAATATTTTAACCTCTTTCATTGTTTGGAGAGCTGATATTTCTGTGCATGTTTTATGATTATATATTTTTAATTCATTTATTTTCATGATACCCAGGTTCTGCTACTTCTGCCCCTTTTTGGGAATATCTCCAACCTCCATGGCACTGTCATTTTTAGTTAAATAAAATGATAAACAATTACCTGCCCTCCCCACATACTGAAAAACAGTGTCCATGACAGGTAAAAAATGAAAGAACATATTTAGGGCATTTCAAGGGCCTGCCTCTTGTCTTTTATGGTAGGACAAAGTGGTTGTAAAGTTGGTTTGTGCCTCAAGATACTGAGCAGAGACACGTTGCAGTTCTGGGCAGTTGCTGTTCTTCTTACTGGTTCTGGCACATGAAGCCCATCTTGTTCTCCCACATCCAGAAACTCACCTGCCTCCCTCATTTCCCTTCGTCTCCCTTTCCTTTCTCACACAGCTGAATCTACCAATAAAGAAGAGGCTCTCACGTTTCCTTTATTCTCTCCTATGGTTCATTTAGCAGCATCCCATTTATAGAACATGATTGAAAATGCCATGCTGAGCAAGCTGTAAATATTTCTTGCAAATCCAAGCTCAGACTGTAGCTGCAAATGTTTCAGATACTAATGTATACTGGAAAAGAGACAAAGTGCCTCAAGTTTCTTATAGTTGTCTGTAGATTTTAGGTTGATCAGAGTGTGTGCACACACGTGTGTGCGTGTGTATGTGCACGTAGAAAGAAAGAGAGGAAAGACAGAGATTGCTGCCAAATTCTTATAGTCAGCTTATTAAAATCTATGGGAAGTTTACTCCCAGTAGTGTCCCCAGTAATCAGACACGTAGCATCTTCAACTTTCCAGACTAGCCACAAACCCAAAGACAACTGGAAAGATACCAAGTGTTGAACAACAGATCAAACTGGCAAGAAGTACTGAAAATGAGAAGAACACATGATTGGTCTGCTAATCAGAACAAGTTTGCACTATTTTTTTTAAACAAGTCATACTTGTCCTCACACCAAGGAAAGGACAGGAAAGAAGCAGTGGCAAAAATGTGAGTGAGAAGAGAGGAAGAAAACAGCAGGAAAAGAGGAAAAATGGAAATGACAAAAGCAGTGCAGTATCAGGGTAGGTGGGAAGGGACCTCAGGAAACAGAAACACCCATGAGAAGCAGGAAGGAGAGTGCTGCTTAGCACATCGCACATGCTGGGCTTGGTCTGCGGCAGAGACGACTACTCTGTCGTGGGTACTGTCCATTATTGGTCCCTCACTTTTCCTGGGTCCATTTGAAAGTTTAGATAGAGACAGTTTCCCAGAAAACCGCTTATGCTCACATGCATAAAAATTTTATATTTAAAAGTTTAGGAAGGCAAGTAATTTGCCTACTTTAATAAGTGCAATGTTCATAATATTTATCTTGCTGTAGGGCAGGGTATTATCATTTTATTACACAAAGTCTGTTTCATAACTCTAGGTAGTATGCAGTATGTTTGCACACTGAGACATTTCTCTACGAAAAATGATTAGAATATGTTTCAACACTTTAGGGGGTAAGCTTTTGTTATCTGGAAAACTCTTTTTAATCCAATATCTCATTTCCCCAGCCATGTTCATACTTGAGGCATTATTATTTGATAATAAGTGGTGCAGTGATTACTTATTTTTTGATACTGTAGTTTCTATTCACCACCCGAGGACACCCAGGAAGTTCTTGGACAAAGGTGACTTTATTGCTGGTAACATATTTCTTCTGTCCTTGTTCTTATCTACTAACTCTCAGTGAGATTTACTATTTAAGAAGTGAGACTTTGGTTTCATGTATGATAAAGATAATGCTTGAGACCTGAGTGTAGACAAAGCCTTACTACATGTGTCTTATTAAAAGGATATTTTGGGATAACTGTTTCACCCCCTGATGTAATTCAGCTTCCCTTAACTTCTCTAGAAATCTCTAGGTATAGACTTTTGATGCTACATACAGAAGAATTAGTGTTCAACCACCCACCATCAAAAAGCTGCAGATAGAGGTCTGGAGAAAGTTATTTCTCTCCATTTGCGTTCTCCTGAGGACTCCTACTGACTTGACTTTGATAGTCTGCTGTACCCCACACCAGAAAGCCAACAGGGATACCAGATAACTCCTTTATACTGTATTTATATTGCCAAGGCCCATCAAACTGCCTTCTTATTTAAAGTGTTTTGTAAGCTTACTTGAGCCTGTCAACTTTTTTTGATCGAGTCATCTCTTTATAATAACTTCATATGTAATATTTTCAATGTTCCTATTGGCAGTAAAAAGGGCACATCCCACCTTTGTGCATAACTGTGGTCATAGGTTACACACATGGCTTTCACCCATGCATATAGTCTGGTGATAAAGTTTTATCAACATGCATACTATTGTGTCAAAATAGAATTCTTGTTTCCTTGCCAGCGTCCAAAGTAGCTTCAACAATTTAGGGCACTCAGTTGGCAAATAGCAGTTATGTGCTGGCAGCATAGGCTCGCTTTAGAAATTCTCACCCCTTCTGTAGAAGCATCGTTATCCTGGAGTGCCATACAGTCATCCCCATTCTGGAGTAGAGGCTTGCACTTTGAACCTCAACAGGGCAGTGGGGAAGAAAACAGACGCAATGATGGTGGTATTTATTTATTCCTAACGTATAAAGAGGTCAGAATCCATCAGGATTTCTTTATTGTGCTGTTGGGTTGGGTTTTTTTGTTTTTGTTTTTTCTCTCTGATTTAGTCAGAATCCATCAGGATTTCTTTATTGTGCTGTTGGGTTGGGTTTTTTTTGTTTTTGTTTTTTCTCCTCTGATTTAGTTGCCTGAGGTCCTTTTGTCTCCTGTCCTTGGGTGTTGAGAATTTACTTCCCGGGTGTATTGTTTGTTGGTGGTGGCCCATAATTCACTGCAGTGCCACCAGACAAGATTAAAGGAGGCGGTGGGGCTACATATCCCCTGATGTGAAGTATTTGCTAAGCAATAGTCAAATGGGAAACTGGAAGCAGGCCTTCATTGATTTGATTGTGGGTTTTCCATTGACTCCTAGATTCTGGCGTAGGGGAAGGTGGGATTCCTTTCTTTCCTTTGAACGGCAATTTCTCCTGCTCATCAGCGTGGCTGATTTTTCTTAAATGACTTCAGAGTTTTTTGATGAAGGCAGTAAAAGAATCTGAACCCGTTGTTGGAAGTTAAACAGAGAGGAAGCCTGTCTGTTGCTATACAAACTAGAGACTAATCGTGGCTCTAGGATAAATCAAGTAATCATCTTATTTATTTGAGGACTTGGGGTGGGCAGTGAAATAGAATGGTACCATAAGCACCTATTAAAACTATCCCCAGGGTAGCTCCCTTCCTTCTAGGATCTTACCCTGTAGGCTTTAGTGAGCAAACAGTCACCTGAAGATATAAAATAATAATTCTGCCCCTTTCCCTCTAGGACTACTCCATAATAGGAGAGGTTGCTGCAGATCGACAAGAATGCATTCCTAAGTTTCTGGGATAGTGGTTCACAACATTTTTTCTGTGTCCTTATTTGGGAGGCCCCTTCCCATAAGCATAGCCAAAATGATAGGGAATTTTACGCATTCTGAATGCTCTACAGTCTACCTGTAAGCCTTCTCCACCAGAAAGATGCTGAAAAGCAGAGGGGTGACAGTGAGGTCATTATAGAGATCACTTTGTAGCCACTAAATTTATTTTTAATGTAAATCCCACATGAAGCATCAGGCTTCATTAGTTGCAAACCACTTGGCGCCTATCTCATGACTCTTCATGGCACATTATTGGGATGTGCCCACGTGGATGAGAGCCCACCTTGTTACATAGGATAGCAGATGTCCCTCTACCTCAGCCTCATCCTCTAGAACAGAATGTAAGAGAATAAAGCTTGTTATCAGGTGGTTTCCCCGCCCCCCAAATTATGTTCACCTTTTGTTTCAGCTTATGTATGTTATAGCACTAACATAAATTGTAAACATTTTAATAGTCTCAATCCCACCCTCACCCCTAGTGTCTATTGGCAATTTAATTGTTTCCTGCTAAAAACAGAAAATATCTAGCCTCGCTATTAAGCATGTCTCCACTCTCAACTTTCCAGGCAATAAAGCCATTCCATAGGGAAAGCTACTGTAATTTTGGTAAATTTTCAGTACTAAAATGTGTATTTCAGAATTTCCTTTGGAAACCCTGAAGCAGAATGTGCTCATTTTACAAGTGACAGGTAGGTTCCACCATCAGGCTGAAATGTACGTTTCTTGTCCGCTTTAGTGTGTTTATCTGACAAATGGAGCCCTTTGGAAGCTGACCTTTCATTTAGGGTGGTATTGAAGAAAAAGTGATTTTCCTTTTTTCATGGGATTATTTTCACTCAAGGCAATTCAGTTGGACATTTTATTTGGAATTAATCCAGACTAACAAAGGGCACACTTTTGATTCCAACCTAAGGTGTCATTAATGAGAAGGTTTTGGTTGTGGTTACTGCTTTGCTTGTTAATAAACAGAACTGAGTTTTTAGGTTTAGAAGAGTACTTTTTTCCTTCTTTCTTTCTTTTAATAAAGATGGTTTTTATATGCCATAGCTACTGAACTGACCTTGAATTTTCTGCTCAGGTTTCTCCTCAGCGTAGGTGGAAGGAGGAAAATAAAGAATTGTCAATTCTACCCTCTAGTACTCAGACCTGGGAGGAAAGGTCGGACAATTAATACAATTGGGGCAGGGCCACTTTGCTTTTTGCCCTGGTTGAAAACAGGGGACACCTTGTTAACTGTTTTCCTCCACAGGGAATAAATGAGGTCTAGTAAGATTCTTATCAAGAGCAAGAGAC